TTACTCTTCCTTCAGTTGCACTGACATGCAGGTATCGAAGAAATAAAAATCGAGAAGAGACAGAAAGGACAAAGTCGTGCCTTGTCCATCCTTTTCCTTTGTGTCTTTTCTGTCCATGTTTTCATTTCAAAGGACTGAGGAAACATAAAGAGCACAATCTCTTCCGACATTAAACATTACAATGTGGCGTGAAGTATGTAATTGCAATAAATTAATTTCTGCGTCAAGATAAACTAAGTTGGAAGTAAGTTTAGAGAAGATAAATTATATCATATGCCATTAGTCAGTATCATATATAAAGTTACTCGCTTCTTTTTGCCGTACTGAGTCATCGCTTGCGAACATGACTCTAAACGACAAAGCATAACTTTTATTTGGAAATATTTGTAAAACATAGAGCACGGCCACTAAACACGATGACAGGGTACAAGAAAACACATATTTTCAACTTTCAACACACAAAGTATTGTCGAGTTAGAGCAGGGGTAACCTCGCTTTACTGCAGTGATGTGATTGGCCTAAGCCGTTTTGGAGCACCCTCTGGAGCAGCCAAAACAGAGTTGTGGAACAGCAAATCTGGCTTTTGGAGCAGATATCCGTAGAGAAAAATATATATTCATTTCAAGTAGTGGACAAACGAAGGACACATTGCTCGCCGCAATCAACCAATTATTGTTAACATAGACCACCTGGGAGTCTTTCAACATGTAACTGAAATGCCAATGACATGACACATTTTGTAATGCTTCAGTTTGTGGCGATAGCCATTGAAAAAAGAAGATCGCGTGGAATAAAAGTGCCACATCAGCTCGATTTTGGAATTTGTCAGACGTAGCCGCTTTTCGTCTGTCTTTTTCTACATTTGGTGACCCGGACGTGATACAAATATATCGGACCACATGTTTAAATTTATTTGAAAATGACCAGCTTAGTAGTAGATATCACATTATTAGGTTTATTAGTAATACAATAAATGGAAGCAATCTCCGACTGATGAAGCACGTAACTACTGCCTTGTAATGCAAAATTGTCGCGCGAGCGGAGATGGCTATTCGATCGAAACCATGCCACTCCGCTCCGCCTCAACTAATTCCCAAAATTGTATGCAAAATGTAACTGTCCAACATACGAGAAAAAAAAAAAAAAAGTCCAGCGGCACGTTCTTGCCAAGGCGGCAAACGAGGTACAAGCTAAACACAGAAAGAAAGAAAGAAAAAAAAAAAAAGAAAGAGGAAAAAAAAAAAAAAAAAAAAAAACCTTAGCGCATCGATGCAAGACATCGCGAGCCAGGATCAAAAAGTTCTTGGATCGGTTTGTGCAACGACTGAACTCGAGACAAATAAGCACGCTGTGCGGGTTCAGCATGCGGACATTGCGTTCTTTGCTTTAGCTCACTTCTCTTCACCAACTTCCTTTCGCGGCTCATTTTTCACGTACCCGGGTACGTCTCGAAAGAAAGCCTACCGAGATTAACCTAGGTAATCAATACTTCGACACTGCAGTCTTTGAGCTTAAGGTATGTTTGTAGTAGCGCATTAAACAAGAACAGGATTGTCCTTACGTTTCAGTTCAGAAAGTGCCATTACTGCAGTGACGTGGGGACGGCAACACCCGATGTCGTGCGACCACAGTGACTGGAAGGCAGGAACCAAATATGGTTGGCCACGGCCGTTGCTTTTAGGAGCGAGTGCTTCAGCCCATAAAATCGCTCCCGCCGCGCAAAAACATGGTTTCGTTTCACAGCATGACGGCATGGCTGGTAACCAGCACGCTAGCGTCGTAGCGTCCGCACATGCCCATGTCTATGATTACATTTTTTTTAAAAGACGCGAGACTAGAGACGGCAGGAAAAACCATGCAAGACCAGATGAACGATTGATGCAGGGTACTGTGTCGGACGGCTGCTTGAACCACCTAGCTCATGTGTGCTCAATTACGGTACCCGGTTTAGTTTCGGTTTTCAAAGGCGACCAATATTCGTCCTTTGGCGCAGGCTACCGTAGCAGGACGTAGCGGGGTTAGCCCCTTGGCGCAGTTTGGGGCAGCAATCACATCAGTGCTATAGAGAGTGGCTCCAGAGAAAGCCGCGTGAAGGGAACGGTGCGAAAACGAAACTTGCCGAAATAGCGGGAAAGAACGGAAGGAAAGGCGGCATCCCGATTTCTTTCCCACCAGCATGTTCATTCGCCCGCTCCGCCAAGGCTGCCAATTTTCGGTGGCTCTGCTCTGAGGAAAAAGCTGACTTTCTCTCTCCCCGGCGCTTCTTCCACGGCGAGATTTTGTGGCGGGTGGAAGATAACGCGGAACGCAGCGTGCGTCAAATTGACAGGAGCAGGCAGAGACCGAAATCAACGCGTCCTGGGTCATATATACCTTTGGATGCGTACGACGTCGCTCGGATGTGATGCTCTGCAGTGGCTGTTTCGTTAGTCAGGACGGGAAACCGAAGCAAGTGTCCACACGGCCACACCACGTGAGTGGGGACAACGTGGTCAGGACGGGGAACCGAAGCAGGTGCCCACGCGGCCACTCCACATGAGCGCAGCCAACGTAAAGTGAAGCCGTGACAGCCCTCCACGCGCTGCGAGCAGTGCCAGCAAATGCTGGACCAGCGTTACCAGATGGAAAAAAAAATCGAAGTCAGTAGATGGGCCCCATACATATCAGTAGATCACCAAACAACCAGTAGATACTAAAAAGAAAGTAAAAAAAAGACCTTTGTGTATTTCTCATTGGTCTTAATACATAACATAACATCATAAATAATATACTAAGAAACACACGTAGAAATTAGTTGCGTTTTTTGCTTGCAGCATTTTTTTTTTAATTCCAATTTCCAGCGGCCAGGTGTAAAACACATTTTTTTCCAGAAAGCAAAATGATTACCCTTAGTACTTTCCAACGATGTAGGTACATTCCCATGCTGTATTCAACGAGCTTGTATATACTTTTTTTCTTTTTGGAGGGGGCCGGAGGTGTAAAATGGCCGCTATCTGAAGAGTTGCCGCTTCTCATAGTACGTGGACGACACTGATCTCTATGACAATTGTGGACGAAACCAAGCAAAGCCAAAGACGTATCCGTTCCGAAAGTACGCGCGTACGCGCCTGCGTTGGCCATTGAGATCAGTGGCGTTGGCTGCATACGGCTTTGGGTAGATGAATCGAAGGATACGTAGATGCATATGTATAGTTTCGTTCCTAATAATTTCACATGCGTTTGATGGCTAACATGAGAACAGCCCTTCAAAATTGTGCATTGCTGTGCCCTTGAAATGTTTTTTCATTCTGTTGAAAAGAGGTCTCCGACACTCCACTCAACTTTGGCGGGGTGGCGGAGAGCAATATAGAGATCAATGGCGGAGTGTGGCAAAGCCGGCAAAGCAGCTCGACCATGAGCTCGGCGCTCTATGCGGTGCAAGGTGCCGCCATTACTTTCTGGACGTTGCCTGTTTACGCCGTTTACGTATCCTCAAATTTGAGAGCTGTCGAGTAGTAAACTTGTTAGTGAGCGCGTTGGTAATGATATAGGTTTCAGAAAGAGTTATATACGTAAAGACAGGGGACGGGACAACATATCTTTCAACTTTCGACAAACAAATGATTTATTGCCGGACGCTTCTCCTTCGGAGCTCCACTACAGGAGAGGGAAAGTTAAAAGGAGGGAGAAGGGAAAGAGGGGGCAAGACAAGGCCCCGGGAGGAAACTGCGGGAAAGTAAAGCGCAGAGACAGCGGGAAGGAGAGGAAGGAAGGAGGCATCCCAATTTCCCTCTCAGGAGCAGGGACCACTCGCCCGGCCCGTCAAGGACGTCAACTCCGGTCTAAGGAATGTCACCTCCCTCGACAGCCCGCTGTGTTCGCCCCCGCAACGGTCTCCCTGTGTTCTTACACCTCCCCTCATCGCCCTCCCCTCTTTCCCCATCGCCTCCCCAAGTCGAGCTCTGAGCGGCTAGCCGCCCCAGTAAATCTGTAGCTGCAAGTCGAAAGCTGTGTCGTCTGTTTCGTCCTCTTGTGTGTTTCTTTCGTTTTAAGTCAATGGAAATGTTCTTCGGCGCCTCTTTTATGGCGTACGCCTCCACGATCTCGCGCCCGTAGCGGTTCTTGATGGCCCCCAAAACACGCGCGGACGGGAACTCGGGGGCACATGGAGCGCAAACCTTGAGGTGATGGACCATGGGGTGTTGGGAGCAGGGGCGGATTTAGAGGGGGGGTCCGGATGTCCTGACCCCCCTCTTGAATTCTGCATGTGTAAAATTTAGGGCGTGAAACGAGGGAGAGGGGGGGGGGGTCCTAAACATGTGGTGCGCTGACCAACACCTGACCCCCCCCTCAGGAAATTCCTGCATCCGCCCCTGGTTGGGAGTCCTCGTCGTTTTTTCTTTCTATTTCTCTCCTATGTTCGCGCAGGTGGCAGTTGAGGCCGCGCCAAGAGGCACGCGGCCCCTTTCGTTCCCTGCGCGGTCGGACGGGTGTATTCCGTGCCCTTCTCGTGCGGGGCAGAGTACATCGTACAGACGGGCCGCTGCCTCAACGACCGCCTGCGCGAACATGAGAGAGAAATAGAAAAAAACGAGGGGGACTCCCAACACCCCATGGTCCATCACCTCAAGGTTTGCGCTCCATGTGCCCCCGAGTTCCCGTCCGCGCGTGTTCTGGGGGCCAACAAGAACCGCTACGGGCGCGAGATCGTGGAGGCGTACCCCATAAAAGAGGCGCCGAAGAACATTTCCTCGGCCTCGCTGTCGCTGTCGGAGAGAGAGGTGACATTCCTTAGACCGGAGTTGCCGTCCTTGGCGGGCCGGGCGAGTGGTCCCTACTCCTGAGAGGGAAATCGGGATGCCTCCTTCCTCCCCCTCCTTCCCGCTGTCTCTGCGCTTTACTTTCCCCGAGTTTTCTCCCGGGGCCTTGTCTTGTCCGCCCCCTTCCCCTTCCCCCTCCTTTTAACTTTCCCTCTCCTGTAGTGGAACTCCGAAGGAGAAGCGTCCGGCAATAAATCATTTGTTTGTTGAAAATTGAAAGATGGTGTTCTCCCGTCCCCTGTCTTTACGAATAGTAAAGTGTTTTTGTTTAAATTCTTAGTTTTGGCGCGGTTTGTTCCTCAAGTATTTTCCGGAATATATTGTGTGCTTAAGCTACACTAGGTGGCGCAAGCTGCCACATATACACCATTAACCATCGGTTCAGCCATCTATCCACCCACAGCCTTCACCCACTTATCGTTCCTTTGTTCTGTTTGGCGCGTTACTTGCGGTGGTGACGAATGACGGTTGGCGAGTTTACCGAGTTGACGAGCCAAACGAATGTCAGTATTTTCGCGCCTAGCTGCTCGCGTGGCTTTAGCAGCGTTCGACAATGCCGCCCGTGCGGTGTCTGGTCACCGTGCCTCACCTAAAGGCTGCCAGGTCTTTCAAGCTCGAGGATGGATCGGTAAACTCTTTGAAACATGCGGTGGCTACGTGCCCCGTTCTTGGGAACTCCATCAAACTGTCTTCTGTCAGGTTTCAGGCAAGTGCCTCGTTTCTGTTGACATTTTCCCCGTGCTCGAACTGTAGCAGGTCACAGTAAGCTAAGTAAACGAAGGATAGAGAAGACACCGAACTGCGAAGCTGTGAACTACCTAATCCGGAAAAAAATATCGAAGTGATAAGATTTTAACCGCCTAAACCACCGTCATCTTCGAATCTATCTTGGAAAGGGTACATGTTATATGAGGAAATGACGTTTTAGCGCGAAGAGTAAAGTATAGACCGCATGAAAGCGATTTGGCGAGTGACGAGGCAAGCGTCGGTGAACCCGCTTCGCTGTCGCTCGGTCACTCGCGCGACGAGGCAATCCGCATGAAAGCAACGGGAGCAAGCGACATTGTAATCCAAAAGGAAGTGTCTAGAGTTCCGTCCAGGCGGAACGATGGTCGCCACTAAAGTAACGTCCAAGTTGGGTCTCGTATAAAGGAAATGTTGAAGGCTAGTTTCTGAAGGAGTAAAGCTATACGCACTCCGGAGTGCGCTTCGGACGGAAATGGCTACACGCACTCTGCGGAGAGCTCATGCCGCTCGGGTCACCCTTTTCGAATGGCACGTGTATCGCTGGGGAGCCCGCCTGCGTTCCCCCCGCTTCGCGGCGACAGTGTGAGGCTGCTAATTACAAAACGTAACCAGTACACGCCGCTTCGCGGCGTCCAGCCGGCAACCCAAGCCCCGCTGTCCCCGATCGCATCAGGAAAGGGAGTCCCGTACCATTTAGTTTTGCGAAGTTTCGTCGGCAACGAATCTTTTAGTGTTCACCGGCAAAAAAAAAAAAAAAAAAAAAAAAAGTAAATATTGCCAAATGCTTCGACAAAACAAAATGTTTGAGAAAACGAAACAAAAAGAAAGTGGGACCACCGCGGATCGAACCCACGTCCACTAGCGTACGAAGCTGACACCTTAACCACTATGCTATGCTATGCCACCGCTTAAAAGAATGAGTTGTTGTGACTATTCCTTTTATATGAGACTAGCGGAGTGCGTATAGCCATTTCCGTTTGAAGTGCACTCCGGAGTCCGTAGGCTTTATCCTTTCTGAAGTGGTGGTGTAGTGTAGTGGAAAGGTGTCTGCCTTACACGCAGCGGGCCCGGGTTCGAACCGCAGTGTGGGTTTACTTCTTTTTTTTTCTTCTCGATTTTTTTTTTGTCGGTATTTACATTTCTCTTTTACAATTATCTCTGAAAGACATGAAGGCATGTTGTCGACGAAACTTCGCTGAACTAAATGGCCGGAGGTGCAATAGGGCATAGCGGGTTTGGGTTGCTGGCTGGGCGGCGTGTACGGAGGGCTAAGTGGGTTAATAGGGAGTTTTCATAGACCGTTTTCGCCGTCCCGCAATGCCCTACGCAGCTTGCTATGATGTCGGAACTCTACAGTCAAGGGCATGGGCGCACAGGCGCAGTAGCGGCTTCTTCGTTGCAGAGGGCTTAGCGGTGAACGAAACATGGTCTACGAAAACTCCCTCTTAGTTTTGTAATTAGCAGCCGCATACTGTCGCCGCGAAGCGGCGTGAATGCAGGGGAGGGGGGGGGGGGGGGGTGTTAACGAGCCCCCCAATGATACACGCGCCGTCGGAAAAGGGTGACCCAAATGGCACGAGCTCTAGCTCCGCGTTCCAGACGGAACTCTAGTAGCAGCTATCGTTTCGTCTGGAACGCTAGCCACACCGTACGTCCAAATCGCCGCCTTCCCTAGGTTCACAGGGGCGAGAGAGGAGGGTGGGGGAGAAGGTTAGGCATATCCATTTCAGTGCTCTGTCTGGACGTAACGCTAGCCACAGCGTTGGACGTAACGCTAGACACCTCTTTTTTTTTTACTTTTTTTTTGTAGGGCATTTGACAATATTTACAGTAAGCTCTCCACGTCGTGCGTATGGCCATTTCCGGTCAACGTGCACGAGCTCGTGCCTATAGCCTTTACTCTTCATTGAATAGGACTGATTTGAGCCAGCACATATGAGAACTGAAAAGAAGCTAAGTGCCTCTGGAGCTGATTTACTAGCTATATAAAAATATTTTTGGGTTAGATATATGTGAAGCTAGTCCATGCGCATACATTTTACAGATGCTGGATTTGGTATTTGAAGAATACACTGACCTTGCTGCGGACGACGAAATACATGACATGGCTAAAATCACTCTCCTGCCCATTGTAACTGTCCCAGAGGGTGGGCCAGGCTCATCTTCCACTCAGGTATTTGGTTTTGCAACAAGTTCAAGGTATATCAAGCATTAATGAAAAAAAAAAAGAAACGGTTTATTACTAGGAATATAATCACAACTGTGATAGGCTGTGTCTATACGAGCGTTTTTTTAATTTTTTATTCTTTAAAAATTTTTTAATGGTGATAGCTATGTTAATGCCGCCTTCACTGTATGTTTGTGGAGCTTGGTGCCTGATTATGATTGGTAGAAAAGCGTCCTGTCACTTCTGTACGTCCGTCACTATCCAGCAAGTGTGACGCCGGCGCCTCCAGCAGACACGCTGTCTGTCGAGATAGTGGCGAAGGGCATGAAACACGGGCGTCACTTTTTTTTTTTGCATCATAATCAGGTGCACCTTTCAGCGTGTGGTTTTGAGTTAACCCTTTAGACGCCGAGGACGAGTCTGACTCGTCCACGGAGTTCGTCCCGCAAATGCCAAGGATGAGTGTGGCTCATCCGCTCGTTTCAGCCCGTGTCTGTAGTGCCAGCGACGAGGCACGCTCGTCCAGTCTATTTTTGTGTTGAGAATAGTTCTCCCGCTAGCCAGCAGGAGAAAAAGCGAACCAGAATTTCGCTAATTTTTGCATCATTTTGAGAATTTATCATGCTCCTCCGGCAACATGGGTTTTTAAAAATGGCGTCTCTTTCGAGTGGTGACATGCATCGCTCGTCTAGTCGGAAGCGCGTTTCTTTAGTTGATGATGAGTTTTCTACAGGGTGAAACAAGGAGACGGCACGCTCTTTAAATCGACCGGAAAATTCGGTTTCTTAACCTATCGCGCTACGGCTTTGTGCAGCGTTGCCCACAGATGGTGCATTTTTTTTGTAAAATTTGCAAAGAGCGAACTTACCCGAGGAAAAAGTAAAGAAAGAAAAAGGCTTAGCTCCTATGGAAACACAGCGAAGCCACCGGTCTTCAAACAACACGGCGCCGGTTAGCACGGGACACAAGAGGTGGCGCAAGCGGTCGCGACGCCAACTGCCTCCAACGAACGAGCAGACGACGCCGAGACTCGAGAGCCGGCGTATTTAGCAGACAAGGAACTGCAGTTCTTCGTTGTTACTGCGCCTGTTTTTTGTTTCTGCGACTGTCGCCGCCTGCGGAACGCGCGTCGCTTTTGAGTCGAAAAGATTGTCTGCTAATGACGCTGGCTCTCGACGCCGTATGCTCGTTCGTTGACGGCGTTCGTTGCGCCATCTCTTGTGTCCCGTGCTAACCGGCGCCGTGTTGTTTGAAGACCGGTGGCTTCGCTGCGTTTCCATAGGAGCTAAGCCTTTTTCTTTCTTTACTTTTTCCTCAGGTAAGTTCGCTCTTTGCAAATTTTACAAAAAAAATGCACCATCTGTGGGCAACGTTGCACAAAGTCGTAGCGCGATAGGTTAAGAAACCGAATTTTCCGGTCGATTTAAAGAGCCTGCCGTCTCCTTGTTTCACCCTGTTGTTTGGATGATGATGACTTTGCGCTAGACGATAGTGACGGAAGCGGGGAGTCCGCGGAAGAGTTTGAAAGCTCAAGTGACTCGGACCTTAGCGGCGATGAGGTCCATGCTTCGGCGCGAGACTGGAAAAGTGTGGACACGACAAATCCTCCATGAGCCCCTCCCCGCTTTCCCTTTATTGCCACGCCGGGCGTCACGACACCCGTCGACACGTCGCTCGTCGAACACGACACCCTCAATGCTGTTGGGTACTTGTAACTCTTGCTAAGCCAGACGTAATGACTCTGGTCGTCAATGAGGCAAAGAGGTACCTATGCCGATCAACACTTGGCGACCGCGCTGATCTCAAGGGGATCCCAAATGAAGGCGTGGTAACCGGTGACGGAAGCAGAAATGAGTCTTCTTCACCCTGCTGCTTCTACAGGAAATAGTAGACAAGCCAGTTGTCGAGTGGTATTGGTCAAAGCGCACAGTGATTGAAATCCTAGTGTTTGGGGAGGTGATGAGTAAGAGCAGATTTATTTTGCTCACGAAGTTTTTCCACTTTGCGAATAATGGAGATGATGCTGGTAAAGTGGGGCAAGCTCGTCAAAAACTTCTCAAGATCTGGCCGGTGTTGTTGCTCATGAAGGACCGCTTCAAAGCAAGCGGTCTCGGTTCCCATTTTTAATTTTTTTGCCTCACATGGCCTAAGATTGGATCAATTTTGGTTTTCAGTTGTTAAGCTTTTATACCCATGTCTTACATGCTTGAAATAAGGAAGAATTCTTCTATCAAAGTGTGCTATAAAAAAAATTTGAATTTTGGGTACATTTTTTCGAAAACTGGCTGGCGCTTAAAGGGTTAAGCAAAAAAAGGAAAAATTAACAGATGAATATCTCAAAGCCTGTTGCTTTTTCGGGAACCGTGTCAATTGGGTTGGCTTTTATTAATGGCCACCTTTAAAACTACAATAGACCCTTTCCGGAATTCAGTCTGGCCACTTTGATCACTATCATCATCATCTGAAAACGCCATATGTGCTACACTAATGGCGGACTTCTGTTTACTGATGAAGGAAGTTGAAGATGCTCCTGAGCATCTTCATCTTCAGACCCTCAGGGCTAGGGTGACCAGACGTCCCGTTTTGGCCGGGACAGTCCCGTTTTTCAGGTCCATTTCTGCCGTCCCGTCTTTTTATCCCAATATAGAATCATGTCCCGTTTTCGCAGAAGTACATAGTTTCAAAATTGGCACCAAGCGAGTAGAAGCAAACTGCAACTATGCCTATTCGTTGCAAGTATATTTTACAAAACTAACCGTAGGTACTTTACAATATTTACCCAGAGAGTAAAATTTAGGACTGTTCTTGCCCACAAACACTTTTTCTTTCGCGAGGACGGTAGAAATATTTTTTTTTTAGTTACTGGATATAGCACGGATGTAGAATCATGTAGGAATAGCACGCATGTAGAATTTAATTACATTTTTTCTCAAACTTTAGTACCCCCCCCCCCCCCCCCCCCCCCCCCTTTTACCGCTGGGATGTCCCGTTTTCTACCTTGAGGAATATGGTCACCCTACTCAGGGCCTGAGGACATTGCAGAGGGGAGTGTGTTACAAGGAGACATCAAAAGCAAACAAACAACAATCAAAAGCAAACAAACGACAATCTTAAGAATGAAAAAAATACATAATAATGAAATGCTAAAAGTTAACACTGTTAAGGCATCGTTTAGAAGCGATGGAATCGGATATGGATGCCACAGATGCTGGAAGGTGATTCCATAAGACCGTCGTCTGAGGTATAAATAAATTATAAAAAGTTGTAGTGTTACATTGAGGAATGCCCATCTGTGGATGGTCAAGAAATTATGATATGTAAAGAGGTGTCAGTAACTTGTCACATAGCAGAGGATTATAGTAATAAATTTTGTGGAACAGACACACTGTTAAGATTTCCACGTAATGCAAGGTTAGGTAGGTTCAAACTTATTTTCATTGATGTTACACTGGCAGTGCAGTGATAATTAGCAAGGATGAAACAAACAGATCTGTTCTGAATTGCTTCAAAAGCCAATATCAACACGTTAATGCCAGGGTTCCCAATTCAAGAGGCATATTCCAGCTTAGAGCGCACGAGCGTTTTGTAAAGAAGCACCTTGAGAGATAAGGGAACTGATGAGAAGTTCAGTGTGATTGTTCGCCTGCACTCAAGCACGTAGACCAAAGTATAGGGTGGTCCAAGTCACCAGGATCGATATAAAATGGATCATAGAAATCGACACCTGCACGTAGCAATCTAGACTTTTTGTCAGAGGTGTATTTCACATGTCGCTTTCCTTTTGTAAAATTAGAAAGCGTAGCTCTCTTTCTGTAAAAAATAAGGCCAAGAAACTTGCCAGGGTCTACGGCGGACAGTGACGCAGACGACAGGAGTCTAGTAGCAAGGTGTGTTTGGCGTTCGTATAGATTGATGGGCTACCTCCTTACTGCGACGGCTTGCGACCAAGGTTTTATAAAATGAAGATAATCTTTTTCAAATGTACCTTCGGTTAAAAAATAAATGCGGGCAATAAAAGCAGAACTTAAAGTAAAAAAAAATGTGTCTGCATAACGACAGCGCTTTTGCTGCCAACGTGTCGTCTGCTAGCTTTAGCTGGTCGGCTGCACCGTCGGACGCTGCTCCCGATGCCATCTATGAATACGATCGCCAAACACGCCCTGCTACTGGGCTTGGTCGTCTGGGTCGTTGCCTGCCGTTAACCCTGGCAATTTTCTTGGTCCTATTTTTTGTAATTTTACAAAAAAAAATTGACCCGTGAAATAGATCTTTGACGAAAGGTTTAGATTGCTACGTGCAGGCGCCTGTTTTTATGGTCCATTTTAGATCGATCCTGGTGACTTGGACCACCCTATATATAGAGTATTGTATCGGGCACATAGGGTTTTGTCGAGGGGGGGGGACCGCCCATGTCAAAATGGCATAGATGGGGGAGGGGGAGCGGGCAGGGAGAGGAGGTCCCAGCAAAACTGAGGATTTGGGGCTATGTGCTCGTATTGTATATGCAAGTACAGTTGCTGGTGGTGTGAGCTGGAATATGCAAGCGGTGACCGGGCTGCGCAGACCACATAGCCGCAGCAAGTGACTGGCCACAGCCTGGTCGTCACTCATGCTTTCCTGCTTATATCGCTTGCTAATGTATGTATCGAGGTCCTCGTTAGATAAACTTTGTTTCGTGTTAGTACTGGATACCAGAGCAGTTTGAGTGTTGCATTAGAAGGAGGGGGCCAGTCAGGGCCATGTCTTTTTCAAAGTGATATGGCTTGCATGCTCTACTGGACGGTGTTGCACTGTACTCCGCATATTATTCTTAGCATTGAACAGCATCTCTGTTTGACACTATGTGAAATTGCATGCTGTGCATGTTTGCATCTACCGAAGAGCTTAAGCTTCAAATTCGGGCTCAGATTATGAGCCACGAACCAAGAATACGGTGCCGAATTTCTGTATTATTGAAGACGAGCGTATTGGTGAAGGTTCATATCCACACACGAAAGGATAAGAAACGGAAGGTGGACAGGGCCGAAATAGGACCTCTGGAAAGATATCTTGGTTTGTTCTTGTCCACTGCGTTTTTTATTCTTTCATGTGTGCATATGAAAATTTTGTACATTACGATTTATACTGAATTCCTGAAACGGCGAGCATCTAGCGGCATTTATTAGTAATAAATACACCAAACCTTACTTATAGCATGTAAAGTACAAACCGTTATATCATTAAAACAGCCTGCTGGGGTCCTTAACACAAATCCAGTAACTTTACACTGCAGGGATTTCCTTTCGTTTTAGGAGGAGGCTTCATTGGAGACGGTGCGCACTGAAAACTGTGAAACCGCCCAAAGAGAGAGCTTGCCAGATGAAACTTCTCCAGATGACTCCTCTCCAGATGTACCATTGGTAGGCATCGAGCCCTTTGAGCTGTAAGTGTGTTTTAATGGTTGCGACTATAGAGGCTATGTTGTGATACAAGGCAGCCTCGAAATGCTTCTATTCCGCTGTCACTATAGAACGGCGGACAAAGTGGCATCAATGGAAACGCTCATACCAGCTGCACTAGCGTCTCACCGGGTGCCTACCGTACATGTGCGCTTTGCTTAGGGTGGTGACATCTAGCCATTTTGGTTCGCGTCTTTTTATTTATTGTTTGCTTGGATCACATGTCGGCTAGTAGCTTTACCTGCGCGGTGCCGTTTTGTTTCATCTACTTCTTTGACGCATCTCACGTACATGGACCATTGTGTTCTGCTGCGTTCCCTGGGCAATGGAGGAACCAGGCACGTATCCATCCTGCCATGCAACATTGCATGCGTTGCACGCTCGGAACAGTTGGCTGCGAAGCTGAGTGACATGGTTTCAGTCGAACAGGCGTTGTCTCTGCTTGCGCGACGAAACATGTGCAATCGCAAGTATGCTGAATTTTCTCTCGCGTAAAACATCAACCAAGGCACCTGCAATTTTTTTGCTTAAAACCTGGCATGCTCGAAACCAATAAAATAGTGGCCAGTGTTTTTTTAATTGCTTGGCGACATTTATGGTATTTTACACTTGTGGGATGTCTCAGTTGTGAAAATGAAGTAGCGAGTTCCATTATGACACAATAATCATGGCAAATATCTGAAGCCGGAACTAAATGGCCCGCTAGTACCCGGAATTCATTTCTTGGCATCTCCTCACCAGGGGCCGCCCCGATTCGGAAAAAAGCTTATTGCAAAATGGCGGAAGGTTCATTTCTTCCCACGACCCCGGCTTGGCTTGGTCACCTGGAGATGGAGGTCGTTCCTTCCCATGATCGTCTAGCTGTTTATCGCTCAAAGTGGCGCATAAAAAAATTTGAACGTTCCCACCTCGTGATACAAAGTTGGGGGTGCATTTATTGAGCAAGGTGCAAGGAAATATGTTATATATTTTTATCTGGACTGTTTCCTTTTTTATATTGTGTGTTTTCTACTGTTTGTGCTCCCGTAGGGTAATGCCTTGGGCAATGTTAGGTCAAATGATTGAATTCAATTTTACCTTATCAGAAATTTTGGCATGCTAAGAGCATCAAGCACTAAAAAGGTAGTCAGTTGTTGTCCTTCTGTTAATGAATATTCATGTCTAAATCGCGCCCTTTCGATCATGCCTCTCAAGAACATCACTGCTTCGGCTTTGGCTGGAGAGGACGAAGCCAGCCTGATCGCCCATGAGGAATGGCTTATACGAGAAGGACGAAAGGCAGCTCCTGATGAAAAAGGAATCCATGAAAGGATGACTCTCACTGCGAGGAAGAGGCTCTCTGACATGGCACAAATGGGCATTGATGCTGTTAGGACAAGGTACCCATACCTGATGGACTCTCAGCGAGTGAGTCATTGCTGCTACTCTTCCGCTTTATTGAATACGAAGGTGTTGTTGACTTTTTTTTTGTACTCTTGTTTGAATACAGAAACTCTTATTGAAGGGACACTGACAGGGTGTTTATGCTCGCCGATGTTTTTAGTTGTACATGGCTTATGAGAACCCAACTGCCCAGAACAGAATTTGAGGCTCAAAATTCAGTTTCTTTCCGCCCGAGGACCGCCACGAGAACTGGCCGGTTCGAGTTGCGCTCTCTCTCTTTGTGATCACGGGCTGTTTTCTAAGGTTTAGACACAACCACCAAATTTAATCAAAGTCGTGGGTCATTGAAGGCACACAGTCAATATTAAAAAAAGCAAAAAGATGAAACCCTTTTTTTGTGACTTCTAAAAAGCTGTTAATAAGATTATTGAGGAAAAAAAAAGTTGCACAGAGAACCGGACGCATTCTGTGCATTTCCTCGTTCAATAGCCCTTTTGCGAAATCCCCCAAGCGCCCTGGCCCGCGCGCGAGGAATTGTGGGAGAGACTGTCCCTGGCCTGGCCACTCTGCCTTGAGATCGCATTGCCTCGTCGCTCGTCTCCTCATAATCTTGTTTTTTGATTTCATTACCTATTTTTATATGTTCAAGTGTATATTTATTGGTTCTAAGTGTTTCTATTTTCTTCTGTGCGCAGTATTTTTTGCATATATATAGTTTTTGTCTTTATTATGCCTTTTTCGACGGGAGTGCTGACGAACAACAGGCCGCTTCGCGTGTCGTTCTCCGGGTGAGTGTTATCGTTGCTACTGGTTCCTGTCGTGCTGTTAGCTGTTCATTTTGGTTCACTTGACCCGCGTGCAGTCGTGAGGAGCCGTTTATGAACACCCACGCAGATGTCATAGGGGTAGGCAGACTCTAAATCAAGAATTGCGACGCGAGAGCAGAGTGCGCTGTGATTTAGCCGCCCGCGCCTGCTCCGTTGACTCGCAGTGCAGCGTATGCCTTCGGGTGCCGCTTGCTTGACCAAGATACAGCAAGCTGCTTTGTCGCTGCGAACCATTTGTCCGAATGTTTGCAAAGCTGAGGCATATGCAACGCTGTGGCGTTTGACAACTGCGCGCTGCGGTGCGATCCCTTTGCAAATGCCGACGGCTCAATGTCGCAACTTGAATGTGCCTATGGCATGCCTTCATAATCTTTCTTTTAAGCGGTTGTCATTTGCCAACGCCCTTTTTCAAGTGCAGAGATAAGTTGCCGCGAATCATTTGTCCGAATGCCTGCAAAGCCGTAGCACCGTTTGTCATATCCAACGCTGCGGTGCCTGACAAACTGCGCTCAGCGGCGCGAGCCCTTCGCAAGCGCCGGGCGGCCCAACATCGCGGCTTGTGTGCGCTTATAGTATGCCTTCTTAAACTACTTGCTAAGCGGTTGTCAGTTAAAAGCACCCCTTTTCAAGTGCAGAGGTGTGCTGCCTCCCAGGCAGTCATCTTGAAACTCGTAGTTCCTTCGATAATTTTATTTCTCTAGTCAAGATGTCAGCTCAAGGTATTTTATTTCTTTAGGTCACCTTCAGCAGTAACATGCCCTCATAGTACAGTTTGCTGTGTGCCAGGCTGTACAAACAGTACTGCCGGCGGACGGCATGTTTCCTGGCACTGCTTCCCAAAAGACAGCGTCCTGCGAAGCGTTTGGGTGAAGACAACTGCGTGCAGTTGTGAGGCGCTGCAAAGTTGGACATGCCGAACAGTGTTACGGTTTCGCAGGCATTCAGACAAATGATTCGTGACAGCAAAGCGGCGGGCTGTATCTTACTCAAGTAAGCGGTATTGAAGGCACATGCTACAGTGCCAGTCAACTAAGCGACGCGAGAGCCGAGTGCGATTGAGCCACCTGCACTCGCTTTGTTGACTCGCACCGCACTCGGCTCTCGCGTCGTGATTGTTGATTCAGAGCTCTGCCTACCCCTATGACATGGGTGCGGGTGTTCATAAACGGCTCCTCTCGACTACACCTGGGTCAAATGAACCAAAAATGAACAGCTAACAGCACGATAGGAATCAGTAGCAATGGTAGTACTCACCCGCGGAACGACACGCGAAGCGGCGTGTGCAGAAGAGAATAGAAACATTTATAAGCAATAAAAAATACAGTGGTACAGATAAAAATAGGTAATGGAAATGAAAAACCGGATTAAGAGGAGACAGGCGACAAGGCAATGCGATTTCAAGGCAGAGCAGCCAAGCGAGGGAGCCTGTTGAGTGTTAGCAACATCCTAGCTAATGCAGCGACCAACGACTTAGTTGGAAGCTATGGTTCACAGGCCAGGTTTGGAGATCCTATCAACTCTATGCCATACTGCATGAAAAGGACTCGAGGGTCCGAAAGAAAAGAGTAAGAGATTGCATGTGAAGAAGAAGGTTTGATATTTCATCAGCGTGATGTCTGTAGTACCAATTATTTCTCTGCACTCTTGCAAGACTTGCTTGGCAAGTCAATAGACATATTAAGAACTTCAGAAGCAAAGGGAAGTTAAAAAAAATAATGTTACTAAAAAAAGAAACTTGCGTATTGTGTGTTCGTATGTTTGTTCCTAAAGCCCTTCCCACACCTTCAAGTTGTGGTAAATGGGGGATTCGGCCAACTCGCTGAAAGCCGACTCATCGACAGTCAATTCGTAGTATAGGCCAATTTGTTGTAGGACAATTCATCAAAAGGCAACTTGTCGAAAGGCAACCTGGGACTGTCATTTAACCCATTCGAGGCCGATTCCTCGAATGGGTTAAATGACGGTCCCAGGTAAAAGTTCATGGTTCCTTGTTATCTTTTGATCTAAATTTTTATTTGTGTTTGGACTAGGGACAGCGGTCTTTTTAGGTTTTAGGACAGTACCTTGAGACAAGTTTAGAAATGTAAATTTCGGGATTGTCCTTTTGCTAGTTTTCTTTATTACTTTTTGTAATGAGCCGCTGCGGACTGTTGCCGCGAAGCAGCGTGGACGGGTAGGCCAAGCAAACTCACACGTGCCACAGTGATGCACACGCGACGTAGTAACTGTCCCCCACTGCACCGTGAAAGTGGAGAAAGCTGCAAGTTGTTATCTTCGACAACAAAGAGCGCACTGGATGTTTATTACGATACGGCGATATTACGCATTACTATAGGGCAGGATTTGCTTTAACATTTCAGGACAAAATTATATATTATGGCTTTGAAACAGCGGCGACCAGTTGGCGTCTTCGACTAATTTTTCTTCGACGATTTGCCTTATGACGATTCGGCCTATTCGACACTGTGGGCTGCTGACGAGTTTACCGTCGATGAGTTGGCTTTCGGTGAGTTGGCCTAGACTCGGTAAATGGTAGTGCCAGTAAAATCTGAATTTAGGCGTTGTTTCTTGTTTCCCTTATTTAAATTAATGAACAAGTGCCAATTTCTTTGTAAATTTTATTAAAGAAATGCCGTGGCATATTTCCTGAACTTTCAATTTTTATATTTTCTTTTGTGAAGTTCGCTAAAGATTTCGAGAGGCTCACGAAGATGAACCTGGCCGACAAAGTCGCAAAAGGGATTGACAAGATCGTTCTGTTGGCCACAAAGAAGGCGATCGACTGCCAGGAGCATGTCCTACTTACACTGCAAGCAGCACCGCACATGGATCTGGGGAGGCTCAGGACACGGCGTGAGTACAGTAAGAAAACCGCTGCGCAAGGGAGGCTTTTCGACCAAGCGATAAAATACCACCATTCAATGCATGCATGGGAAAAGATAGTAAAAAAACAAACAAAACACTTTCAGTCTTTCTCTTTTGTTGAGGAAGGAAGACTAGCGGAGCTGCACTATGGTGGGAATGAAGTAATGGCCGATCGCTAGTCGGCAAGCCAGAGTGGAAAGGTTGCGGCCATCTATGATGGTTGCTGCCGTCTCCTATATATGGCGGTAGCTGTCCAGAGTTCTGTGTCATCGGGTTATTTGAGGACTGACACGACCCTGGGGAAACTAGCCGCTAACAGCTCCACTGTAAAAAAAATAACCGAGTTTATGTGTGCAACCACGTTGGCGCATTGCTCGGCTGAGAAGTAAGCGAAACTATAGCTTTCAAAATGCGGCCTTTAGGGTGGGCTGCTTTGTGCTGGCCTCCCCTGTATTGAAAGATGGAACGTGACTGGCACTCTCGCTATCAGCGCGCTCGGAAACAATAGTGCTACGTGCTGCAATTTTGCCGCTCTGGTCGTTGGTCGCTCGTGCTAATCTTTTTCTGCTGCAGCTGTACATGCGCAGCGCCTTGGCAGAGGAGAACCCTCTGCCAAGGTGCAGGCAGCGTGGTGGAGGGCCGTAGAGGACAGACATTTGGGCTGCACACCAGTGTATGGGGAATAACTTTGGGAGTTTGTATCATACTCCCAAGGTTATTTCCCCGTGGTGATTTGAATTGTTTCATACCATTTGGTGACATGTCCAATGGCTTATCTATAATATTATGTTGCACCCATTTAGGTCGTTCTGGTGTGTTGCCTTCTTTTCTTTTAGTGGGGACAGGCTTGGCCAAGTGAACATCTTAGTATTTGTCTGAAGTTCCCTCATTGTCACTGATCCTACTGGAAGATAAGCAGAACAATGCATACATTTTTTTTCTGAAACCGTCCAGGACACGTGCAACGAAGAGTACAAAAATGTATTTGATATCTTGCACAAATGTTGTTGGTGTTTTTCAGACATCCTGACTGTTGCAACTCTGCGCATTTTGGCACTGAACGTCAAGGAGTCAACATCACTGCCCCTAATGTTCGTGCAAGAAGATGTAAGTTATTTCACTATATTTTTGCGAAAGTTGATGCTAGCAAGAACAAAGTTCCAGCCTACCTTCAATGTAGCAGGGTTAAATAAATGCTAACTAAAGAGGTTTTTTTGTTGTTTTTTGTGGGTAGAGTGTTCGTTTTTTTTTTGTTTTCACGGTATGTTTTTTCATAGTGCCCGCAGGGGCTAGAATTGGAGCCTTCTGAATACATATTAGTGACCATGTTGATGTCAAAGGAAACAAACATGTGAAATGCACATGAATACAAGTCCTGAAAAACCAATGAAGGCTGGAAGGCGGCAGGCATGCTGATCTTTCTAGGGTTTTCAATACAGAGACAGTGTAGCGTGTTAACTGGCTTCCAACAGTTCAATAGCAGCTTGTTCACCTGGCCCCTTTTGTTAATGGGGTGTCCCAAACATTAGGCCCACCAGGCCCCAAATACTTCTGTAACGCTCAAGAGATAATGGCCACCTAAATTACAGAGATATAAAGTAAAAATTTGAGGCGAACCAAGTTTCGGGTACAATGGCTGAAACGCCAAAAACCTAATAGTCTGGCTTCCAAAACACAGCCATGCTCAACGTGCCTCATGCTGGATTTTCACTGCTCCGGTTGGTGTTCGGACGGGAGAGATATGGCCAGCGACTGCACATAAAATGTAAATGTAGCTCGTGAAAATTAATTTATACAACTACATACGAGACATTGTTATGTTTGCTGTTTTCTGGAACCTTCATCTTTGGGTTTTTTTAGTGTAGAGGAGGAAGCAAAAAAATTAACATTGGCCAACGAACAAATAATAGCATGTACCGTTATGGTCAGTCGGTAGCCCTGTACGGTTCATAAATGCGGGGTGGCGAGGTAAGCAGGGTGCGTCCGTGGCAGACATAGATTGTAGCACCTGAGCTGCCTGCCTTCTGTCGGTGTTTGCCCCCTTTTTTCTCCTTGAAACTTGTCTGCCCTTGGCTATGTTCGCTGATACCGATAAGAACCCATTATTGCACCCAATGAGCGCTGACGACCGATGACACTGCCTGACAAAGCGCGTCTGCGCAAACATCCCTGCTTTTTGTCTTCTCTTCCTTCTGCACGTATTGTTTCTCATCTGTGCATTTGTTGGTGTCCTCTTATCCAAACAATAACCTCAAATGTACACAGGAAGGCTGCTGTCCGCATAAAGAAACCAGGCCACTGTAAAAGTGAGATGTGATAGCAAAGCAAAAAATCACTCTCATGGTGAAAACGAACCAGTGATGCGTCAGATTTTTGGCGTGACTTTTATTTTTTTTATCTCCAGACCTGTACTCATTTCCAACAATAAATAAGTCTAGCAGCGTATCATAATGCATCGGAAAAGTATCTCACTATTGAAATGCAAATAGGTTTCACAAATGCATCTTCATACTGAAATAGAGATACTAAAATATATCTCTAAGCTTATATCGCAATATTTTCATGTCGTGATGTTTCCCCAATTGTAATTTCCTCATTCATTTTACATTGTTGCAGATGCCGGTTACTTATTTAAACATAAGCAATGCTCATGGCCTGAACTGGAGTGAATAATAGCAGTTGACAAGAGCAAACATGTTTTGGCCTTCTACATTAAAATATGTTGTGCCTTTTCCTTTTACCTAACGCAGGATGAAAACATCCCACCGACACCGTGTGTCCTGTACAGCGGGCAAGACTTAGAGGATGCAGACTTCTTTCACCTGGTTGTTGATCGTGAGAGGTTGTTCTCCGTTCCAAATGCCGAGGAGGGGCTGTGTATGTTGTTGGCAGCCTATTGGTTGTTCAGTATACAATATGAACGGAAGGCCTTCAACATGCTCGTCACTCTGGAGAGGCTTTTTCTCGGCATGAGCCACACAACTCCAAGGGCAGTGGTAATTAAATTTTTAAACAAAGTTTGCAGGCACGTGCATGGTTGAAGCAATGATTTGTGCTTCAACCACACGCGCATTAACTGCTTCGTTACGGTTCAGTTTGAGCTTTTTCTTTTTTTTTTTTTTTTTTACGGTGTTAGTTTGCAGGCTCTGTAAAAATGGATGTCCACCCACGGGACAGTGGGGCTTTACAGTTCAAGTAAGGAAAATGAACACATATTTTATTCAACATTTTATAAGTTAATTTTTACAAAATAGGTTTTGGGAAGAATAGCAAAACTGGAGTGATACCGGCAGAGAAATGAGGCTCATTTATTGGTACGAAAATCAAAGAAGCAGTGCCAGTCAGTTTCAGTGCAGAGGTAGATTTCACAGGACGTGCAATGGTGCTGAGTTTTCTTTGAGGAGCCAGGGTTCCTGCACTGTGTAGCATTCTTGACGTCTTCTTTCTTTGGCACGTGAAGTGCCTGCGCCGTCTGGACTGGCGAGTTCGGCAGTGGCTTGACTCTCTTGCGCGGAACCTGTGGCACCGCACAAACTTTCTAAAATGGCATCAGCCTGACTTGTTAGTCCTGAAAATCGAGCACAATCAATCAAACCAATTGTTTTCACTTCGCGAGTGTTTCAGATTGGTGCGAGCAAAACATGATCATCGCGAAATTCGTGTCATAAGTTTTGGGTCCCAGCGTCCACCCACGTAGACAGTTTGACAAGGGACTACTATAACCCTTGCTAATACTGTTGAAAATATTAAGCATTAGTGACCATCTGTGAACTTTCAAGAACTCTAGAAATATAAATTAACACAGCCTCCGTTTGTGTAAATCACATAAACTGATTACATACCTTGGCGTCGCCCGTAGAACATGCGAGTGCTGCAGGTCGCCATTTTTAACAGCAAGCAACAAGTTTTCAGTGCTGTTTGCTCAACACTCCTCCAGATGGCAGCACAGACTACGTCCATGACGGTGGACAGGCGTCCTTTTCTGTGTGCAACGAAGTTTTTTTTTTTTTTTTCTTCTTCTTACAATTCAAAACCCAATGTTTACACTGGTGGACGCAGGGTCTCAGGAGGTTATACAGGGTGTTTCACGAAAGGTGGACAAATTCAATATTGCAAAAACTGCTCGAAGGCTTGTGTCGTTTTGGCCCTGGGCTCGAGGCCTATTTAGGAAAACTTTTGAAGTCCGAGATAATTAGATTGTTAATTATTTTTGAGTAACTGACTTTTTAGTATTGTGTTTTAGGTTATGGTTTCAATTAGAAAATTGCTCAGCATCATTGAAAAACACTAGATCAACATATTACACAACAATAGAAGGCACGTGCAGCATCTTACGACTTTCTGAAAAACCTCACAAATGGGATAGGTTTTTAAGTTTCGGTTTGCTATTGGAGCGCATCTCGACCTCGACGGCACCATGCCCCGTGGAGAAATGGTGCAACCAGCCTCTGCTGCGTTGCGCAAGGACATCGCAGCAGAGGTTGCTTGCGCCATTTCTCCATGGGGCGCGGTGCAATCGGGGCCGAGATGTGCTCCAATTGCAAAACGAAACTTAAAAACCCGTCGAATTTGTACTGTTTTTCAGAAAGCCGTAAAATGCTGTGCACGCCTTCTGTTGTTGTGCAATATGTTGATCTAGTGTTTTTCAATGATGCTGAGCAATTTTCTAATTAAAACCATAACCTAAAACACAATATTAAAAAGTTAGTTACTCAAAAATAATTAACAATCTAATTATCCCGGACTTTAATCATTTTCCTAACTAGGCTCCTCGTCCAGGACCAGAATGACACAAGCCTTTTTTTTGTTGCGACCCATAGTTTTCGCAATATCGAATTTGTCCACTTTTCGTGAAACACCCTCTATGTGGATATTGCACTTTTCGCGACAGTATTATCAGGTTAATTTTTATTTTGCTTACAGAACAAATGATAGAATGTTTTATGGAGGCATGTTTTCTTTTTCTGTCTTTAAATGTATAACTTATGCCGACCTCCTGTAGGTGAGGTATAATTTATCTGTACGGGGGTTCCTCATTCCTAGTCACTTTCCAAAACTTTATAATTTTCTTTGTACTTGAGATTTCTGTGATATTTTTCATTACATGTTGGCAGATAGCATTGTTTATGTCAAGGAATGGCATACATTGTATTTTTTTTTTCGTTTGTCTTTTAGGGCACAATAAATGTTCAATTTTACACATTCTAATTGATGTCATAATGAGCTTCACTTACTGAAATACTGCTGTGGTTCAGTCAAGGGCTAGACCGCCATGCTTCCAATTAGTAAATAGATATGCTTAAGGAGATGAGTGAAGCGTGTTTCCTGCAATCCTCTGAGACAAAACTTGGCACTTGATCTCCAAACAGGAAAGCTCCACATGCTTCATTTGTAAAAGCCCATTATGTTTATAACTATGGTTTAGCCGTGCAGTACGATGCTTGGGGCCACTGCTTGCTCACTTGAAGTTCGAGAAAGGGCGGCACCGGAAGCACTACCAGTTGCCCTCAGGCTTATGATGTGGCTTGCAAGTAGCTCTTTTGTATTACTTCATGAAGTGAGTTGCGTTCAATGTGACTCGTTCTTTCTTTATCATGTGCCTTGTATGTGATTTGGCAATACCCCCCCAGGTGAAAAAAAGTAAATGTGTTTAGTAAACATGATAAGCTGAGAATCATGATAAGAATATCCAATACTTTATATGATTTTCGTACAATTTAGAATTTCTGGTATGTGTATTGGACACATGCCTATAAAATTTTTACTAGGGCCTATGCTTCATTTCAGCTTTCGTCCGAGTGCGGCAGACGCTACCGGCCAATCCAGCATCGGCAGAGTGTCATGTGAGCTTGAACTCCACATAACCAAAACGTTGCATGATACTCTCCCGGCACTGGATTGGCTGGGGTGGCCCAGCATCCACTGGGCCACCCCAGGGGGCGCCCATTTTACGGCAAGCACCCTCTACCAGGGGTGTTTGGCAAGCACCCATTATAAAGGGTGTTTGCCTGAACACCCTAAGGGTGTTAGCCCTGGGACAAACTGGTGTACACCCTTAAGGGTGTAAAAACTTTTAGTGTGTAGACGATCTTTTGGTCACCAGCGCATCAAAGACAGAACATGAGGAACATCTGAGCGCCCTTTTCACCCGGCTTGACGACTACGGTTTGGTCATCAACCCCAACAAATGTCTTTTCGGCGTAGCCAACATCGAATTCCTGGGCCACCTCGTCACCCCACAAGGCATCAAGCCTTTAGAAACCAAAGTCACCGCCATTCGTGACTTTCCTCAACCAACATCTTTAAAAAAGTTGCGTGAATTCTTGGGCCTAGTAAACTTCCATCGTCGGTTCCTGCCAAAGTGTGCTGAGTTACTAAAACTTCTAACTGACCTGCTCGCCACCAAAAAGGAAGCCTCGGCGTCTCTGAATTGGAGCGAAAGTGCAGCGTCTGCCTTTTCGTTAGCGAAACAGGCACTTGTTGACGCCGCAATGCTCACCCATCCTGCCGCAGACGCGCCACTCCGACTCCTCATAGACGCATCAAGCGTAGCTGTCGGCGCGGTTCTTCAACAGAACGTTTCTGGATGGCAGCCACTCGGATTTTTTTCACACAAACTCAAAGACGCTGAACAGAGGTATAGTACCTTTGCACGGGAACTTCTAGCAGTGTATCTATCCATCAAACACTTTCGCCACTTCATCGAGTGCCGGGACTTTTACGTTCTGACCGATCATAAGCCCCTGACATTTGTGTTCCATCGAAACCACACCGACTACACCGCGCGTGAGATCCGGCACCTCTGCTTTATCTCAGAGTTTACCGTCGATCTCCGACATGTCAGCGGCCAGGAAAACACTGCTGCTGACGCACTCTCTCGCGTAGCAAACATTACTTCAGTTCAACATCCAGTGGATTTCGAAGAGCTAGCAGCCGCTCAAGACGAGGACCCCGAGCTATAACGCCTTCGTGACTCTTCTGCATCTCTCAAGTTCGCTGACATTCCACTACCTCTCTCTCCAACAACCGTCACTTGCGAGACGTCAACCGGCGTTTCACGCCCGTTTGTACCACCAACGTTTCGTCGGACTCTGTTCGACCAACTTGCACAACAAAAGCCACCCGGGAATCCGTGCTTCACAAAAATTGATCACGTCCGGGTCACCAAATCTGTAGGAGCTGGATTGAGAGCAACCAGTACAGACAGCGGTAGGATTCAAACTGCTTTTTATGTGCCCGCGACGCGCGAGCCCCGCCTCTTCTTCATTTTCTTTTGTAGACCGCCTTGTGCTGACCGTGAGGGTCGCCATACATGCATGTATGTATGTATGTATGTATGTATGTATGTGTGTATGTACAGAGCGCGACACTGTTAGCGCGAACAAGCGATCGCCGGTTTTTCCAGTTTTTCTCTTCGAAACCAAGGAATGTCATCCAAGTTTTTATTGCTACGGAAAGAGCTCATTGAGTTCTATAATGTAAGCGATAAAATTTCGTGCTCGCTAATACTATTTAGAAGTAAAATGTGAAAATGCGCCGATGTGTTCGCGCTAACAGTGTCGCGATGTGTATGTATCTATGTATGTATATATGCATGTATGTATGTATGTATGCATGCATGCGATTCCCTTTGAATCGGGCGTCTACTAATAGACACCCCCCCAAAAAAAGCCAGAAAGCAGAGTGTATACACTCGTTGATCAACAACAAGCTCGATATAACGTCACTTTAATTCGATCTCCTGACCAATATACCCTTTGCTAAACCACCTAATCGAGCATCAAGGAGCATGCTCCGAGTAAAATCAGTGAATGTTCCCAGAGTACCGAAACCACGACCGGCTTTATTAGGAGCGACCAGCTCACTCCGCGTTTCCCCATGGGAACGCGCGGGCCAAGAAGTATCACGTGAACGTTTTGGAGGGACCGAGTGTTCCGCTAGGCGCCGCCCTAGCTCAACACCAAAAGCGCGGCAGCTGCTATGGATGACAATGGGAGCATGTGGAAATAACGTTGGTTTCAGATGACTTTTGTCGCATTTAATAGGCAGGCGCTAATGCTAGTACATAGTGTGTATAGAATAGTTTAAAATGAGTCACTATATAATAGTTTTCTGGAGCAGAATAGTTAGTATTGTGAGCTAAGCGTCAGTATAGGGTATGCGAGTGTACAGGATGGTGCATCCAGTCCGCCTGCTGGAGCCCACTCCCGTGATCAAAATTTAAAAAAAAAAAAAAAAATCGAGTTAGTTGTTCCGCAGGTGGGCCATGACGCTCTTGGTGAATGTTCGAAGTGAGACATTGTCGATTGGTGATGAACTGGTGACTGGCGTTTGTGTGAGTGTGTGTGTGTGTGGGGGGGGGGGGAGGGACATTCTAAGTTGCATTACACGGGTTGCGAAAGAGTTCTAGTGACAAGCGTACGGGCTAAAAGGGGCCACATTACACCAGTGCGAAAACGCCGCAGGGAGAAGGCAAAAGAAAGCGAGGAGTCCGGTAGCAGCAAAGTGGCTAGGAGCCGCGCGGTCGGTACTTGACGTCGATCTTGAAGAGAGTCCCTGCCGACTGAACGGAGGAGGTGCAGTGCTCGATATGTTCGGGCACCTCATAATAAGGTAGGAAGTGCGACGTTGCACCGACTCGAGGGAGGCAACAAGTTGCCTGGTTCCCGAATCCCATACCGAGCAGCAAAACTCCAGGATGGGCAACACCAGTGCTGTGAATAGCAATCTGGGCACATCGGGACTGGCTCTTCCTGTGGACCGAAAGACGAAGCAAAGGAATCACCTTCTTTGGACTCGACGTTTTGGGCATAGCGACGGAAAACGAAATGCTTTCGATGATGATACCTAAGCTAGGAGGTGGATATGAGCTGTTCTTGGGGCCTCCACTCGATTCAGGAAAGGTGTTGGAGGGGTTGACGGTTGGCGCGAGGCAGTGATGCGCATAGTAGCGCATTTGGTTTAAGTTTAGGGGAAGTTTGTTATTTTTTGACCAGAGAAGAATATGATCTAG